TGCTGTATGACGTCGAATTATCTTCTTTTTCTTCTTTATAATATGGATATCTAGGCTTGTAACACGTCCTCCCCGGAAGATAAGGTCCAACATTCTTGCCATCCTTTTGGTGGTCTTCCCTGTGATCTGTTTCCTAGTAGTACTGTACTAAAGTGGAAAATGTGTAATACCTTCTTATTAAGTCAATGGATAATGCTCCAACATTTGTCCCAAAAACTTTTGGTAACGTAAATTAATGATAAATAAATTAATTTTTTTGACATTAAAAAGCATAATAAAAAAAGACCTTGTTATTTTGCTTATTTAAATTCTAAACGATTTTTTAAGTGTGAAAATGTGAAAGTGAACGAAATTTGATCAGCGAACCACGACGCCTCTCTTTTAACCTCGCCTCCTCGCCGTCTCCATTTTTCTCAATTCTCCTTTCTTCTCGCGTTTTTAAAAACAGAGTCCAATGACTCGAATATCGAGTACTTATTTGCAACCTCCAATAACAAAACGGTAGCGAACAACAAGTAGATATAGATATTAGATAGGTGAAGTAAGTAGTGGTAGATTTTACGTAGGCAGACGTTGTCTCGTGCCGTTTTACTTTCACTTCCTTTTCTACTTTTGGATGCTCTCTAAAATTCTCCACGTTTAATTCTTTTTTTCGACCGATTTATTTTAAATTGATATTAGAAAGCTATTAATTTTTATCGAAACGTTTGTTGTAATAAGCGAAGCGTAAAAAAAATATTTTAATGGATGAGTTGTCTTTATTTCCTTGTATTGTCCAAAAATTGCAACAGAGCGAACCTCGTTTCACCTTGGTATAGTTTTATGTCGGTTTTGTTGGTAAATGTCAAGGAAATGTGTGTATATGGGGGTTTATCGTTTTGTTTTGCCATTAAAACGACGTTTTTGCGAAATGTATGCACTTTGTTTGATACATTGTAGTCGGTTTTAAATGTTTTTATTTTATCTTTTATTAAAAATTAATTTAAATTTTCTAATTAATTCTGCTTTTTTTTTTGGTTTGGTTTAAAACGGCCTCATTAATGAGACTAGATAAAGTTAATTACTTTTCGTATAATCGCGTAAAGTCGATTATAAAAAGTGATTGTATTTGTAGATTGGCGCTTTTGGGAGATTGAAATTTTTCGTAATAACATTAGGATTTAAGATGAAACTAACAATCTAAATTAATGATACATTTCTCGATTTGATTTTACATAATAAATAATTACTTTGGGTCGATACAACTTTCTGTATAATTGTACTTTGGGATTGTTATTTAATCAATGTTGTGTTATTAACCATTAGATACGGAATCTATTTCAAACAGTGCATTAAGTAAATGATATATTTAGGAGAACGTTAAAGGGTAGAAAACATTTTTCTGGTGAAAAGGTCAATTGCAACATAGTGATTTTGAAATTGTGTTGCAAACATGGAACCAATCGACAAATAATCAATTATTATACAATGAAAATGATAAAATTAAAAGTTCATCTTATATAACCGTAAATGGTAACGAACTTACGTTACAATCTTGTTTTTAAACGGTTTTAATTGTTAATTTGTTTTATTATTATTTAAATATATATTACTCCAAAATACCAAGTTTCAACCTTTGTGGAAAAGCATTTATTGCAAATCCAAATTATATTGTTCCTTTAGAATTTGCTGATTCATTCACAAACGAAATATTGCACGGCTGATTCAATTGTTTTTATTAGGAATAGTTGGTGGCTTAGCAACAGTGTTTGCTAGGAATATTGTCTTTTTCGATAAATAGGAAAAAACATTCTCGTGGAAGGTTTATATCTAGAGATTTTCACAAAAATGTCCTCTTTATGTGCACTACAAACTTAACCGGTTTCATCGTATCGCGCCATCTTCAGGTGACAAATTATTGCCGATATCAGCAAGTCTTAAAAAATAATTAAACGATAAATAATTGTTTGATGATTATAATGTGTATAATAATATTGCCAAAAATTGTTGAAAGTTAAAATAATATTAAAAAAAAGATGACTAATTTTCGGGAAAGTTTAATTTTTGTTGTGACACACTTTTCCATAAACGCCAATTAATAAGTATTTCTTGGAACCACTTTTAACAAAAAGAGATTTCGTTGAGAAAAATTATATAAACTTATTTTATTTTATATTATAAATACAAAATGAAAGAAAAACTTAATGGAACATAATTTATCTATTTTTAAATTCGTTTTTACTTGAAATCCGATATTTTTTTCCAAAACTTATTCTGATGCAACCACGACGCGACATCGAATTGTTAACATAATTCGTTAAATAACGATGACAGTCGCGAAATGTACGTTAAAACTTTCACTGGCTGCGGCTGCTACTAAAACCACCGCTGGATCTCTGCTAACGGCGGAATGTTCGGAATTCTTAATACAGTTAGTTGCGTTTCGTTCGCGACTATTCGACGAACTTTCTACGGTTATTTTTTTTATCGTTTGAACATAAATTTAGTCAACAACGACCAAAAAGAATGATTAAAACAAACACGACCTTTCATTACTACAACGAAAAATGTTAATCAAATTATTTCAATATCATTTTATTAATTTTTATTTCATCATTGACCTAGTTTCGAAAATTAACGGTAGAAATAAAACAGTCTTAGTTTACGCCCAGAGGGGTGTTTCAACAACTGATTCTCATTTGCAAATGGTTAACATGCAATTATTCATGTAATGTGTGTTCCGTATCGTAAGTAACTCGTTTGCAAATTGAACCAATTAACTGTATGCGTTAATGTTAAAACAGTATATATCAAATATATTTAATTGATTTTAAATTAAAATTAAAGCTGAATCGTAATATCCGATATCTTCTTATATCGTCCTTGATATCTCTCTTCATTGTATTCAAGACGCAGTAAGGCTAAACAAAAGTTTTGTAAATTTTGTTTCTTCTCTTTTTAAGCTTCTTTTTTCTTCAACTTGGGTTAACAGACAATTCCAAAAAAGATCGTTGGCATTTTTCCATGGTATTATGAGCTGTCTAAATTTAGCTTCTTCAGGGGCACACTGGTTATAAATTCATTAATGTCCACTTCCTAACTTTCAGTTACAGAGTAAACTGCCATAAATAATGGTTGTGATAACTCATCAAATGTTTTAAAGTTGTTATCAAGAGGGTTTATTGTTACAAACATTCCCCAGATTGCAATAAATGATGCAATGAGTTTCCAAACAAAATTTCACCATTAATTTGTAGAAGATACAAAGCTCATTGGAAACCAAAATACATAATTATTCAGCTTGAAGTCAGCACCTTCTGTTTACAACGAACCACTTTTTTAGTTAAATGGAACAGCATATAGTAAATTTTCCACTGAAAACATTGATCCAGATAAACGCTTTAATTATTTTTATCAAAACAACGTTTTCTATTTTTAGCCTCCTTAGTCTCCCTAGTTCTGTTTTTATTTAGAAACAGGAACAATTAATTAATAACCATTTAATCTTATTGTGCAGAAATCGCTGAAACGAACCAAATACAATAAAAAAGTTTTATTAGGCCACATTTTCTCTAATACAATAAAAAAACTTTCTATCTTTTAGGATAATTCGGCGTTGAGTCGTTCGTTATTTGAACTGTTGATTATCGGCGATCGCCTCGAACCAAGAAACGAGACGAGATTTGGTCGGCGGCGCTTCCTGCCCATTTCGTTTGATTCGGTTTCGACCTAAATACCTGATTCTCACCATTTTAACGCACTCCTCCTATATAATACGGTTGATGTGTGTGTATGTGAACTTTATTTCTCGTATTTTTCCACGACTAAATAAGAAAAGACGAACTCATAATTACTTATTAAACTTTTTAATTAAACTTTAACTTTTTTTCTCTAAAATTATTATAATCTAAGATGATTATGTTAATATCTTATAGTTTTAGATAAAATTGAATAAGAGGTCATCGAGTATTAAAAGAAATCGCGCGAACGTAACCTTTAAACGGTTAATAAGATTAATATGGAGATTAATATTAATGGAGCAGACTGCAAAATGTTTCATCGTACGATTTTATCGCCTTTAATTTTATTAAAAACAAATTGGTTTTAGAGATTTCTTTTTCTAACATCACGATTAATTCTTTTTTTTATTGTCGCACGCAAACGATTCGAAGGTTAATTAATCATTACGGGATCGTGTATGATTTCCCGTTAAAAATAATCCACGTGCTTGAAACTTAACTTTCAACTTGAACAGACTCGTCTATTGAAATAATTTTTACCGTATTTTTCCTTGTTTATCTGGATGGTTTGTAACAATTTTATATAAATAACTACATTATCATTATTATTTTGATCAATTACATTCTTATCATCTTTAATAATTTTTAATTAATTACATATTTATTTTCTTGAAAGATTATAGAACAATAATATTGTTGATATGCGCATAGAAAATTGGACGTAATCCAATTTAGTTGGATTTTCTTAGACATCTTTTCAGTTCATTAAACATAACGTTAAATTGTAACTTAATCGATTTATTGGAACGATTTGTGTTTAACCAAACATTTTTTATTACGATGATAATCATGTATTATTAGCCAATTTTCAAGTTAAAGTTCACGTTTAATGAATCTACTCGATGAAAAAAAAATGGCTCAATGCCAAACTGAGTAGAGATTCTCGTTAAAATCGTCACGCAAACGTTTTAGATGTTTTGTAAATTAGTCATAACGTGCGTTGATATGTGTAATAACAATGCGAGGGCTGTTTAACATTAGGTGGTCTATAATTAGGTCATAAAGATGTAAACAATTTTTTTCTTATATTGCTTATTTGTTGTAATAGCGTAATAAGATTCCCTCTAATCATCGTGATACGACATTAAATAGACTTGACGGCTTTAGTGTTAGTGATAATCTTGGGAATATTATTCGTAATGATGCTAAATCTTGTGAACCTGCGGATTTAGCATACTAACAACTATTTTCGTTGTGTTTACATTTAATTTTTATTTTCAGAATGAACATACGGCTTGTCCAACAATACAGTTCCTAGGTGATCAAGGGGTAAGTTATTTTTCTTCTAATGCCTAAAATATACTAGACAATACATATGAAAATAAAAATTTTAAGAAATACTTTGATAAAGTTATCCAAGAAATAACAAAAAAATCTTTAGCCACCCATATAATAATTAATGCCAACTTTTGAACACGTTACATATCCTTTACTTGAAGTTTTACTTGGTTGTTCTCCGTTTCCCCTGAATTATGCATGGTGTTGGCGACACAAAAAGGGGTTAATACGATCTATTTACTACGAAACGGTATAATTTCCTGTTTCGCATGCAGCAAATTCAAGGATTCTGCTTTGCTTTTTTTTATAAACACTGCACCTTATTCATTGTATAATAACCCCCTGTGTAATATAATGGTTAAAAATGTTTAGGGTACTCAAGTTCATGTAAAAAGTTGTATTTCTTTGTTTGGCGTACTCCACTTTGTATGAGTCACTATCCCCTTTTAGGTTCTCTTGGCATCCAATTGTCATTTTTTGTCTCTTTGTTTCTACTCGTTTTCATATCTCCGTCTACCTTCTTCACAGTGTCTTTATAATCTAAACAAAGTTTAATAAACAGTTTTTTAATAACTGAAATTTTGTACTTTCTATTGGTTTATTAATAAAAATTCGCTTTACATGTTTCGACTATATAGTCATCTTCAAGAGCGCTACAAATTAAAATCTTCCAGACTTTTTAATCTTAATTTAAACTGTTATACATTCACGTCGTAAGTCATCATTTGTGTCATCACCAATGTCAACATTTCTGAGGAGATCTGCTATCTTTAGGATTTCTTTGGAATAGGCGAGTTTTTTTTGATCAGAATCTTGTCGTAATTATTAGTATAATTTTGGAACCTTTCTGATTTCTCAGAAATAAAGCTAGTGGTTGATCAATATTTATGCCACCACTACCAATACCTGTGATATTTTTTCAATAATCAAAATTTTGTTTGTCTGTAGATTAGGATTTTTTTTTATACAACGTTCGAATTCGACTCGTACTTTAAATTTTCAAGTTCTGCACAGATTCTGTGGAAATACCGCGACGTCTCGCGATAACATTACTCGCTCATATCACGTGATCATTATCCTTGATACACACGTTCTAGTCTGCATTGCGCGTCCACCGCGAACTCCAACAGCAACCTTGAAGAAGGAGACGATGTTGGGTAGGCGTCGACTCTCGTTATCAAGAAAAATCGAACCTCGGGATTCCCTCGGTCATAAAGCAGCTCAAATAAGGAATTAAATACAAAGGGAAAACCCCGGTTTGTTAACGCATTATTCACCAATGAGTTTATTTTTGTTTCTCTTGCTCAAACCTTGTTTTGAAACCTTTTAGAAATTTAATAAACAATTTTTTTTTATTAAATTTAATTTCGATTCAATTTTTCTTAATGTAAATAAACAAATATTATTCATAGTTGGTAACAACCTTGTCAGTAATATTCAGCAGACCTTGATCTGATTTGAGCAAATTAAGAATGTAATCTACGAAATTTTGTGTGGGGATGGGTTAAGGTTTAGAACAATCTTTCTGGGTGGAGTGGAAGTGGTCGAATTGAAACCATAAAAGAGATGATGCGGTTCTATTTGTGGATTGACGTGACGGACGCGCGATGAAAGGACGAAACTGTAACGTTTCATGCATTTGTGAAAAGTGAGAGTTAGTGTGCACGGCGGCACACTTTTAATTAATACGAGACGCCGTTTTTACGTAATGGGGGGCGTTTGCGCAATCTTGGACAACGTTGCCAAATCAACAACTCGCTCGCAATGTATTACCTACTGCTTGCTACTGTTTTGTTAATACGTTACAAATAAAAGCGACAAATTTTGACTTTACTTCGATTTTTTTTGTGAAAATACAATAAATAATTGCTTCCAATAACTCTTAGTGACTCCGAATGGCTAACAATTGTTCTTAATACTTTTCATTATTACAAGCTCTCAGCTGCAAAGAATACATCACGCTTTTAAAGTTCCCAATTGCTTTGAATAGGTGCCAAACATCTTAAATGACTCCGAATAGCTTTTGCTTCGAATTGCTTCTAATGAGTTTCTTTTATTTATTTATTGTTCTATCTTTAAATAAAAAAATCGGTAAACAATTTCACCTCAATTTCATTTAATCCTTGACCACTTTACATTCATAAAAACATAAATAACTTTTAATATCAATATTTTTAAGCAATTTAATTGAAAAATAATAAATAAATCTCATTGATATGTTGTTAACACGTATAAAAAATCTGACGTCGTTTAAAATAAAATAAAAAAGAATTTATGCCAATCGTTGTATACCGTTTTAAGCTTGGTTAAGCGGTGCTTTTGTGCCAAATTGTGACGACAGGTGAGAAGCGAATGAATAACTCAATAATAAACCGGCAGACCGATCATCGAAGATTATTATTTATTTTCTTTTATTTTTTGCCATCGGTTTTCATCTGCATGTTCTGGTCTGAATCCCGGAACGTTGTGGTACTTATTTCCCAACCGTACTTTCTCTAATCAAATTCAACTCTCAACAGATGACTCATGAACCATACCAATCGCACTCAAAGCGATTACAAAATGCCGATGGTTTTACGTTTCGAACATTTTAAAATTTCAAGAGCCATACAAATTATTCCTAGAAGTTCTCTTTTATGGCGTAAATGTGGGTTTATCATTCCAAAATTGTGGGTCAAGAACTTAGCAAGTCTTTAATATAAAAAATAAACATTTTAAAGTTAATGGAGTTAAAGTTTTTTTTTTGGCAGATTTCATGTGTAATTTATAACATCCTGTTTCTAACTTACTTAAGATAGAATGGAATTGATAATTTTTTTTGGAATTGTTCCAAAATAGTTTTGAAGTCTTGATATGGTACTTGCCAAGAACTAGATTTGGTAGTTTAAGTAAAATTTTTTTGAATACGTTACAAAAACTTTGATGCAAACTTTTTAAAATGAAAGTGAAACCTGTTTCTTCCATTCAAGAGACACGCCAAGAACGAGAAGATGAAGAAGAGAAAGGTCGATTGTGTTACATTACATATTATTATTGCAGCAAATTTCAATTCTCGCAATTTTTTTTTTTTGCTGATTTATCGCGAAGAAAACTAAAATGAATTATTAAGTTGTTCTAAGAACGATAAATAAAATGTCAGAATAGTTTTTTTATTACAATTATGCCTATTCTTTTTCTTGATTTTTCCAACTTGATTTTTCTTAGAAACGAACAATTAATTTCCTTTTACTGTGAAAGTCCTAGAACGTTGCGCGATATTTGTTTTGATATGAAATTGTGTAACGTGTGCCATGTGTGACGTCCGTAATTCGAGTCACGATAAGCCAATCAATTTTACATTAAATTTACGTGTCGATGATATTAAAAAGAAAATTTATTAAGTCATTTTTGCCATTATCTTTTTTGCATAAATACAGACATTCGTATTTTTGAAAGTGTTTTTGTAAAACATGTAAGTGATTATGAACGACTATTTTTAAAAGTCATTATCGTGACTATTTAAATTTTTTACGAAGAATTTAAAACCTTTCTAGGAAATCTTTTAGTCTGGTTTTATATGACACATTAAACATTTACTTTCGATTTGAACAACATTCCAAAAAAAAGTTCATCTGATCGAAAGTAACTTTCAAAATGTATATTAAAAAAAAAACAGGATATAAGCTTTTATTTTTGTCATTGTAAGGAGTTTTCAGGTGTTCTAATCAATCTCACCGAAATTGTGTGGAATTCCTTTTGAATATTTATTATTAATAATTATGTTATATTTCTACGAATCTCTTATTTTTGCAAGTTTATGGCAGTATCACTTTATGATTTTGCTCGTTTATTTTACTTCTCGACAGTAACGCATCACAAAGTCGTAAAAGTAGGATTTATTGGCCGAGCTGATTCTATTCCGAGAACTGACTCAAATCAGTATCAGAATTCGATACTCAAGGTTTTGTTGCTGCCTAGGTATTCGCACCCTATACAGCTTCTGAAACCTACCACCAACCTTTGAACACTTTTGCATAAGGTTCTTCAAATCATTTAGATGTACTATAATATCAAAAGTGTTCTTCAACCACCCTAAACATTTTCCAAATGGTTATCTATGTCTCTATGTTATAACTGAGTGGCATTCATATGATGAATACTGAACCCACATCAAATGTTATATTGTTAATTTAAAAATATTACAGCCTTTTGAATGAAAGGCACGATATAAAATTGAGGAATGATTTGAAGAGTTCACACCACCATTCAAATTCTCTTCGTTTCGACGTCGACGTCTCCTTTCTTTTATCCTTTTTAATTATGGCCTCGGTTTGTCGCCGGTTGCGCAAAACGCCGAGACTTGGTTACGACACGTTTCGACCGAAAGGTTACCACCGCTTCGGCCACCGTCGGTCGCCGCAAAATGTTAACGGCGTCATGAAGTCTAACGTCGAAAAATCACCATTTTACTATTTCAATCGCTTATCGTTTTATTTACTTCTATAGTTTCATTATACAACATAATTTGAATTTATAAAGTTATTATTATTAGGTCTTTTTTATTAAATCTTAATCGAAATTTTTTTGGGTGGTCAAGTAAAGTCAGTCAAAAAGAGGAAAAGTCGCACCTTATTACACATCCACGATCTGTATACAGTTACTTATCCCACATACCATTGTCTGAGAACATCTGACCTACACTTGACTGGCTCTTTGGTCATCAGCGTTCTACTGAATGAACGATTCTTCTTTACGATAAAATGAAATCTACATAATTTGATTTTTTAGTGCAAAAAAAAATTTTTTTTGTATTTGCGATAAATTTTTCTCATCGTTTATCCGTCGTCGTACGTTTCGAGATTATTCCGGAGAACGTAGGCGACCTTCGCGTTGACCTTTCCAGCTTTTTCCTTTTCCCTCTTGTTGTATCTCGTTGTTGCGTTTAAATACGTCGAGAGAAAAAAAAATAAGAACTTGAATCGACGACGATGAAATGCGGTCAACGGATTTAAAAAAAAATCAATTTCACGTATACTTTCTTAAGCATTAATAATTGTTTTGAAATTGTTCTTAACAAATATCATTTTTTCCCTTCAAAGATAAGATTAAATTATCTATTGATTGAGAAGTGTTTTCTATTTTACTTTCGATATCTTGATAAAGATATATTTATATCCGGTAGTTGAGAGAAACGTTCTTAGAAATGTTTCTTAAGGACGTTTAAAACACAAAGTAGGTTATTGCGCGCGTCATAAATTATAACTTTATATATGTAATAATATTGCACCGAGAATGTGTTAATTCTAACTTAACTAAATAACAAAAAAATTAATCAATAAAATTAACTAATTAAATAAATTAGTCAATATTTTATCTTTTATTTTTATTATAACATTAAGATGTGCCGTTTTAAATTTAATTAGTTTTGGTTTCCTCTTCATTATTAAACTTAATTAGATATAGAAGCTGTTTTATTTTATAATGATTAACTGAGAATGTTAATTAATAGAAAATAATTTTATTTTTTTATTAACTTAGTAAACATTTTTAGTTATAATAGGGATAAAATTATAATAGGCGATTAAATTGCAAATACGTGACTTTGAGCACGGTTTGCGTTCAAATTTTAGTCTTCATTTTAGAGTACGATGCGTTTCAGTCGTGTTGAAACTTAATTAAATCAATAAATATGACTAATTTAATCTGGTCTCTTTTTATTTTTAGCAACTTTACATCCCTATCTCAAAAAACGATGGGAAAACCTTTAAATTCTCGGTGTCGTCGACGGCTGACATGGAGGGCCCCGGTGGTAGTTTCGAGTGCGTTCAGCAAATCGGTCTTCCCCGGGGCTCGCTTCAAGCCCTCGGATGTTTACCGTACAAGATCCGGATCCACGCAAACGACGACGTCTACGAGACAACCCGAAAACGGATGACCGTCGCCGAAGAAAACCACAAGAACAAATGTACGCGCGAAATCAAACCGAACCAAACGGATATCGGAAGAAAGGTAAAGGTGAAACAAATGCCGGGGGGCGGTGGAGGTAGTGGAGGTCGTCCCGTGGGACCACTCGCCCTTCGAAATGAAACGTCCTCATCGTCGGCCGTAAGAGATTTTGTTCAAAAATCTTCGTCGCAGTATCAATTGCAAAAACCGCCGAATCTTCATTCTACCGGAAATGGTGGTGGAGGAGGAGGAGGCGGAGGGTTTATGTCGAACGGATTCGGAAGTAATCATGTTAGTAGTAGTAGGGTTCCCAGTAATAAGCCGTCACTTCCGGATATCGCGAGGCGACCGATTAAGGAGCGGATGATACATTTGTTGGCGCTGAGGCCTTATAAAAAACCGGAACTGTTCGATAGGTTAACGAAAGAAGGTGTCAGGGAGAGAATGGCGATGACGACGGTGCTCAAACAAATTGCCTTTTTGAAGAACAACGAGTACCATTTGAACAGGTTAGTAGAGAACAAAATGGTTAAATTTGAGTTCATTTAAAGGAGACGTTAATTTAAAATCCGTTTTTTACTTAAAAACAATTAAATGCACTCTTAATAAATTTAAGATAAGATATGCATTATAGTCCCGAAAATCCTGATACACAACAAAAAAACTCAATTTTGTTGTTTAATAATAGAAATGTAAAGATAAAAATCACAACCATAAAGGAACAAAGCGTTTTGTTTCTAACTGCAGTACAACTAAAAATGATAAAATTAATAAAATTTGTTAACAAGTAATTTTTTATATTAAAGGTCTTTTTGGAATGACGTAAAAGAAGACTGGCCATTTTACACTGAATCTGAAAAGCAAATACTCAAACGGCGGAAACCGCAAAACTTAACGCCACCGGGCAGCAGTGATGGTGGAAGTTCCGGTAGTGGTCATTCCCCGACTAGTACCCATCCCGGTTCACCACCTCTCCCCATCAGCTACCCAAAACGGCCCGGCTACTTCGACGGTAACGATGGCCTTCCAACGAAAAAACCCCGCATCTCCCATTACCAAAAGACACCCGATAATCACCATCGCGGGCCGAATCAATTCCGGAATTCGAGTACCGTCGAAAACGGAAACGGCCAACGGCGGCCGCCGACAGACTCTCGAGACGCGAGCAACATGAACCCCAGAAGCAGGGAATCCCCTACGCTTAGTTACGGGGTTTTGAGCGGCGAAAAACGATCCGGAAGTGGTGGCGGTGGAAACGTCGGCAGTGGAAGTGGACCCGGAAGCGGTAGTATACCCGGAGGAGGTGGAGGCGGTGGATATAATAGTGACGATGATGATTTAGTAGTTGCTAGTAATAACCACGGGGGCGGTACCAGTCACCATCACCGAAAACGTGTTTGTGATAGTCATAGTAGTGTTAAACAACAGTCTTTGGGAGGAAGTGGGAGCGCTGGTAGCGGAAGTCATGGAGGAAATAGTAATAGTGGTAATAATCACGGGGAAAGGAACGTGACGACGAACGGAAATAGCGGGTATGGAGGCGACAGGCGAGATCGAGATGGAAGGGATCGGGATCAGAGGGATCGGACGTCGTGGAGTAATAATACAGTAACGTCAACCTCCAAAATTCAACCTCCGCAAGTTAGTCCTGATAGTCAATCGGAAAGGATATCTGCCAATGAAAATCCTGATTATGTTGCGTAAGTTTTATCTTCCTGCATCACTTATTTCTTCATATTGATCATTTTCATTTGTATAAATCAATATTTTTCGCTTTCAGGCAGTAAACGTGATGTTATAATCATTACAATCTATTTCAAATAATATATAATACTTATAATATACCTAATACTTCATATTAATAATTCAAAACTGGTTTTATAGCGAATATACGACAATTCGAAATCCGGAACAACGAACCAGATACAAGCAGGACTTTAAGAACAGCTATGACGAGTATAGGGAGTTGCACGCTGTCGTTGATAAGGTGTCGCGACGTTTCGTTGAGCTTGAAGAGAGACTGAACCAAGTGGATACCAAAACTCCTATGTACAATGTAAGTTAATTCCACAAAAAGATTATAATTACGTTAATTGATTTTATTAATTAATAGGATATTAGAAGACAGATACTGAGGGAATACCGGCAAAATAAAAACGATCAACAACACCAGCAAGTAAAACGGAAATTTGAGTATCTCCACGAGAAGCTGTCGCATATTAAACGGCTCGTTACGGAGTACGATCAAAAGGTGGCGCAGTCGTCGGGAGGTGGAAACCACCGTTACTGACCATGGATCCCGGCCGTAGGCCCTTCGCCCCCATCGACGCCGTCGCCGCCGCTACTGTCTCCAACATCCGGTAATAACTATTACTACTACTTCTACTACCGCCATCTATCGGACAACAAAACGTTTACAACATCACAAAATCACTTTTCCGCCGCCGTCGTTTGTGGTTAGTGTTATAATAAAGAAAGAAGAATAAAAACTTAAAAAATATGGTAAAAATAAAGTGTTAAAATGATAATGAAATGAAGTGCTCTATATATAAATATATATATATACGTATATAAGATTTAAAAAAGGAAATTTGGATTAGAAAAGGATTAAAAGATTAGATGAAGAATTAAAAATTTATTTATCTTGTGCGTGTTATCGAGTTGTTGAAGGGAAAAATATTTTTTTTGGTTAATTTTTGGCTTATTTTTTTTCTGTTATCTACAGTTTGAAAAGCTGTGTTTTGAATTAGTTATTTTTTGAATCAATTGTTTTTTTTTGGGTCCAATCGTTTTTTTGGTTCAAACGTTTTTTAAAAAATTGCTTTAAATATTAATAAAAAAAGTGTTGAAGAAATTAGAAAACAATGGAAACAAAATTTTAAACGCAAAGTGGACGCTAAAATGTTGGAAGTGAATTATTTTGTTGAATTTTTAAAACAATCTATTTTGAGTTTTTGATTCCGGAACTATTTTTGGTATTTTTAGAACTGTCAGTTTGGATCAGAAAATATTGGAAGTGTAGAGGGATTGTGTAGTGATTTGCAGATTTTAATTAAGATTTCTTGATCAAGTCTCAAAGAGAGTTCAAAAGGAATTTTCCAAACTTTCAATTTGTAAGTTTTATTTTAAAAGAATTATTTTTGAACTTTTTTTGTTATTTATTTATTTATTTCAGGTCGGTTCCGGGAAAAGAACGGGGACGACAAAAATAAAAAAATTAATCCGTCAAAAAGAATAAAATTTCAAAAAGCCACAACAAAAAAAAAGAATGGATAATTAACACATATTCACAATTAAATATAGAGACCTGTAGCGTCCAAAAATGTTTTAAGAAAAACCAATTAAACTTAATAATTAAGCAACAAAATGAGGAATGAAAAATGAAACAAAATGAGAAGAAAATGAAAGCGAAAAATCAATACAAAGTAATAGGAAGAAGGAAAATAAAAATAGAAAAAAGGTCAAAACGAAAGAAGTAGTGGCACAGTGCTTAAGAAAAAAGAAGTGAATGATTATTTTTTGTACATATCCGTAAGTCATATTAGAAAAAAGTCTCCGTCATATCGACTAAAAATGAAAAAGAAATAGATTTAAATAAAAAGGTAGATATAAAAAATAATAGGAAAAAATCTTTTCCAATTTTTTAAATTCTCAATTCTAATTCATTAAGTTAAAAATTTCTCTTCAACCCCGTTTGTTTCTCTTCATAAAAACAACTCTAGTAAAAAGAAGAAAATAATAGGAAATTTCGTTGGAATTAAATCGTTTTAATTGTTAATAATTGTTTTGTAAACATAAAATTCTCTTTAAATTTTTAAATAAAATTAAATAGTTGTAAATATTACAAAAGATTAAAACTAGAAAAAATTAATTACTAGATGTTGTCTTAAAAAAAGATTCTAAACGAAATAGAAGTGCAATAGATTTTCCCTTCTTTTAATTTTTTAAACTCTTAAATCATCACATTTTTTTTTTTCAATCAGCAAACATTTTCTCTTACTTTGTGAGTGAATAACCATATAAATCCTGTTTTCTTTTTCAATACGATGTAAATATAAATTTAATAATTTAAAGAAAGACCACTTAGATTGCGATGAAAAAGAAACAGATTAAAAAATATTAAAAAAACTATTTGCCATTTATCATCAGTTACCAATAATTATAAATGATTAAAGAAAAAGAAGTATACCTAAATCTTAATCTAATCTTGTACATTTTCCGTTTATTATTTTTTTTTGTGTAATAATAATCATTATTATGAATTAATTGTTGTTTATTAAAAAATAATGCTTCCAAAAAAACTTTTAAGTGAAAAAATGTATAGAGTGTTTAATCTATGATTGATTATTTTTTAATTTTGTTAACTCTTAAAGATGATTTCCCTTCTTCCAATAGGTTTGTTGCATTTTATTAGGTCTTTGATTTCTCTAAATGTCATAGTTTTTCTTATACAGTATGGATTAGTGATCATTAGGGCCAAAATTGAGTCAAGCTCCCTCTAATTGTAAGTACCCCATATTTTGGGGTGATTAATTGAATCTTTAAGGCTTGGGGGAGCCCTATATATAGTTTAAAGCACCACAATGCTATATATATTAGTATTTGGAAGCTCAATAATGACTAATTATTATTCTTGTTAAATCGATTTCAGCACTAATTGGCAATCTTCAGAGTTAATCTCTAATCTTTATCGATTATAAATAAACACTCTACATTTTTTGAATTAATTTGTTTTATGAAAGAAACGCAAGAAATGAAAAGAGAATAAATTAAAAACTGTGCCAAAAAAAATAAAAAAAAAATTAAGAAAGCTATATACTTACACCATATTAAAAAAATAAATTAAATTAAAATGATATATTCTAAATTATGCCTTCATATATAGAGAAAAACTGAAGAAGTTGAAAAAAGATTCGATCCGATTTCTTTCTTTTTTTTTTAATTAATTAAGTGATTGATTAATTTTTATATTACCACGTAGTTATTTATTTATTTTAGTTACGTAACGATTTCTTTAAGACAATTTTTCTTCAAAAAAAAGTTTTTTTACGAAAGTTAATACTTTATTTAGTTAATAATCTCATTTAGGGTAAATAATAATTTTTTTAAAGTTTTCGTCGCGCATTTTCAATCTTAATTTGTCACTAATCATTTTTTTTTTAACTTTTGAGTCGTTAAAGGGTGTTTTAAAAATTACAAATTGAAAGAAAAAAAATTTTAATGATTCTTAATTGTTTTGCAAATTGATTTTTTTAAACAAAGACTTTTAATCATGAAATTTTATCAATTATTTATTATTATTAAGACAACTGTAGTGGCTGTGATATTTCGTACGAAGACACACACAAGATATTCGAAGAGAAATTGATATTTTTCTAGAAAGATGAAAAGAAAGCTGCTAAAATTAATGCGAAAGAAAAAAAAGTTAAGGATTTAGGAGATGTGCCTTAAGAATATAGAGAACACCTTTAAAAAAAGAAAAATAATTTCATTAAAAGAAGATTAAAAAATTTTTTCTTGTGTGTTGTTATTTTTACGAATTTATTTACAAAAAAGGATTAAGAGAATATCAAATTAATAATTTTTACCCTTTTGCCTTTTATAAAAAAAGAAATTAACAAAAAAAATGTGCCTTATGTTCTTTTTTTCAAAAAGAATTCTTGTAAAATTAATAAACTCCCTTTAACGACATAAAATACGTAAACAAATTTATTTTTGATTTATTAAATAAATATAAAGCGCGCTTAAAATTTTTAAAAGAAAATGTGTCAAATATTCAGTCAATATCGGTTATAACGAATAATTTTCGCCTATAACGAACGATTTAAATAATTTCGAAATTGAATTTATGACTCATTTCTTAAATCTTATACTCCAATTAAATTTAATATCTTTCGTTATACCCGAAATTGCCTAATAATAATTATTATTAATTAATTAATTTTCGCATTGTTAAATAGTATTTTTTAAATAGAAATCGAGACTACTACTAATTAATAATTTTTTAAAAACTGTGATGATCATGCTCATTCCTCTTTCCTTTTTTTGTAGTAAAAAAACGAAAGAAAAAAGGGAGAGATTTACAAAAAAAAAAAGAAAATAACCGAGAGAATGTTTTATTAAGAAAAAAAGTTAGTTAAGTGTTTTGTTGTCCAATTATTATTAGTAATTATTATTAAAATTAAATTAATGATTTATTGAAACCTGATAGAGCGCGCGCGGTGTGTCCTCTTAATTCCCACTTATTAAATTATTATCCATATTTAAAAAGAAAATTGAAACGATTAAAATGAAAGAGTGATTGTTAAAAATCAATCTTTGCGTCCTGCCAAGAAAAGAAAAGATCGAAAATGAAATAAAATAAAATTGAGACTGTCCGAAAAAAATTGAATTTGAATAATATAAAAATGAATATGGATTTAAGAAAAGAATTTTTCACGCACGGTGGTTGTGATTGTACATAATAATTAACAAAAAAAGTAATGATCTTCGATGACGACCTGGCCTGACCCTGACTCATCATTTTTTTTTATTATTTATATATATATTAAAACAAAAAATATATATATAAATATAAATATATAAATACTATATAAATATAAATATACAGTACCATGTATCTATATTAATTACATATATATTAATACGTTTTTAGACTTTATGCTTCTTACTATTATTCATCAAATCTTGTTTCTTTATTTTTATTCTTTTTGCTTATTTTTTGTCCTTTTTTTTATTTTTTGTTTCTTCTTTTTTTTGAAAAAGCTATCAACAAAAAAAATGTTTATAAAATTCGGAAAATTTTTTTTAATGTCGTCAGTCCGGGGTTGTGTAATTTTTTTTAAATTAATTTATAGCAAAAATAATAACAAAAAATATATGTAATCGAATTACATAACACATGGATTGCGTTTTAAAAAATTCAAAAAAAGATTTGTTTTGTATTTTTGGGGTTGATGATATGTTTCTTTAGGATAAATGGAAATATAATTAATTAATCAAAAAAGTGGTCTGTCGTGCCTGAATAGCAGCTTGCCCAACCTCCTCCTCCTCTCTTCTCTTTTTAATTATTTATATCATTTTCTCTTTGTTGTAAGATGCGATAAGACGCTTTTTTTTGTGCGGAAAAATATTAAAAATAAATAAAACCGAGAGTATAAGTAGTAAATTAATTTAAAAGAAAAATGTGAAAAGTATAATATTTTTACCCGGTTGTGAGTTTTGCACAGAGAAATCCATGCCAGATTTTATTTTTGAATTCTCTATTAATTATTATTACGAAATTTGGATTTTTACTATTATTTTTTGTTTGTTCGTTTTTTTTTTGTAATTAATTAAAAAAATCTCCCATCGAGTGGCTATGGTTTTATAACGACATTATTATGTTTTATTATTATTGTAAATTGATATGCAATATATTTAAAAGCATTATGAAAAGTGATTTTTTGTTTCATTTATTCTATTTTCCCCATTAAATAGATGTACCAGATAGGATGTCTTTCTCATCCTATCTTACACCATTTTGACATTATGTACTTATAAACCAATATAAACTTACCGGCAAAAAAACCGGCCACTAAAATTTTGCCACAATTTCAAAGCTGGGTTTCTCGCGAACCACTCATTCGATTTTGATGATTCCTTTTTTGATCGAAAGGTTGATTCTTCTGTAATAATCCTGCTATAGAAATTTGTATTCGGATATTAATTTGAACATATACGGGGTGCAAGAATGAGAAATGCATTTTTTCTCGAAATTTGAAAGTAGCATCTGCACCCTGTGGGGTGCAGATGCTGCAGCAGAGGGTGTTAACTGGAATCAAACGGTAACCCAATCTTTTCTGAACATTTTGTTTTTTTATTCACTCTATTATCTCTGTGTTACTAACGAAGATGCAGTGTTTTAAAGCGAATGCCTGTGAAAACAAGACAAACAAGTTTCGAATAGTAAATTGACAGTTGTCAAAGATGCCGTTGTCAATAACTGATGTTGAGCGTATTATTAGTTTAATTGAAGATGGCAAAAGTCAGCGGTACGTTGCCCATACGTTGGGTATACCCCGAACAACAGTTCAGTATGCTGGAACCGATATATGGAAACAGGAAATTTTACTAGGCGGCAAGGTTCCGGTAGAAGACGAGTGACAACAGCAGTTGATGATCGATTTATTGTGCTAAACACTCTGAGGAATCGTAGAACGACTGCTGTAGAAACTCGGCATCGTCTTCAAATGGTGCGTGGGGTTGACGTAAGTGAAAGAA